ACGACGACTTTGCGACGACGACGGGGACGACGACGATGACGACGACGACGACGACGTTGCGACGACGACGGGGACGGCCACGACGACGACGGCGGCGGCGGCGACGCCGACGACGCTGACGCTCTGCCGAAGATGAACAAACGTCATAAACATAGAGCTTTTGGCGCTCCGCGCGGATTTTTTGGAGCCGCGCTTTGGTCCCCCTTGGCTGCGCCTCTGGCGCCGCCTCTGGCCCCTTGCGGTCTCTGCGCGCCAGGGACTGGGGGCTCGGGCACGGATCCAAGAAATCCGCGCGGAGCGCCAACTGTTCACGTCCATGGCGTGTTGTCTTCTTCTACTCCTCTTGCTCCTCCTCCTCCTCCCCCTCCTCCTCCTCCACCTCCCCCTCCTCTTCCTCCTCCTCCACCTCCACCTCCCTCTCCTCCTCCTCCTCCTCCACCTCCCCCTCCTCCTCCTCCTCCTCCTCCTCCACCTCACCCTCCTCTTCCTCCTCCTCCCCCTCCTCCTCCTACTCCTCCTCCTCTCTGGGCTCTCTTAGGGAGCCTCCTGGGCCCTGTATTCGGGGGGCCGCCCGCCGGTGAGTTCCGGAGCCTGGGGGCAGCCAAAGGCACTCGAGCCACTGCGGCGGTTGTGGAGGGGATGTGTAGTCTGATGGGCCTGCTTTCCACCACCACCACCATAAGTTGGAGGACGAAGCGAAGAAGGAGAAGGAGCAGGAGGAGGAGGTGGAGGAGGAGGAGGAGGAGGAGGACACCCTCCCCCTCCAACTTATGGTGGTGGTGGTGGTGGAAAGCAGGCCCATCGTGGTCGGCCACGCGCAATGCTCTTTTTTTTCATCGGGTTGAGCCAAAAGGGGGTCCAGCGACAAGGGGGTGGTTTCATTAGACTTGGTGCAATACAGTCGCCCCGCAGAGTAAGGATAGGCAGCCTTCCCAAGGGTACCCTTGCATCCTTGCCTCCTGGGTCCATCCTTGGACACTTTCGTTGGCCGCGCCCCGCTCGAAACGCTTCGAAATGGGCGTCCAAGGGCATTGCATCTTTATCGCGCATCCTTACTCTGCGGGCTAAGTGTAGATTTTTGGAGCTGCAACACATTTGGGGCGTGCAACACATTCCGGGGCGCAGATATATTGCTGGGTTTTCGCGCGCAATGCATTCGTCGCAACACAATGCAATACAATTCTCTGGCGCAATACATTTGCAACACAATTGCCCCAAATCTATTGCACCACCCCCTTTCAGCTGGACCCCCTTTTGGGTCGACCGAACTTCCTCCTCGTCCGTCCGGTACCCTTGTCATCAGTGGCATTTGATCGTTGGGCAGTTTGTGTCAGGAAAGGCTTCTGCGGTGATTCGCAGCGTGCTAGCTTCAGTGTGTCGGCTTTGCTGCTGTTCGCGGCTTCAGATTGTGACCGCTTGGCGTGGAGCATCAGCGCGATGCGGGTCTAGGATTCAAGCGGCTTTTCCTGCCCTTCAACATGTAGTAAGGCGCACGCCATGCTGTTGCTCAGAGCGACTTCGGCGCTACCAGCAACAAGCCACTATGTTGATACGATGGTTGTGTCATCGCGGCTTATGCTCTTGCACGTCCAAATCGCCATGCTTCTCGTCATGTTGTGCCGCAGAACGCCTCCTGACAGTATCGTTCAACCGACCCCCTTCCCCATCCTCATCCCCTTCGAGACCCCCACCGGATTACCATCCCAGCTGATTATACACCCCTCGAAACCCGAAGGGAACGGCCTACATCCCCATCTAGGGGGGTAAATCGGCCAGTGGGGCCCAGGCCACGCGGCTGGGGAAAACGATGCTCATCCTGGAAATCGACTGGTAGAACCTGCTTGTGTTTCGTTGACGTCGCTGGCCGTTCCCAGCAACCCTGGGCGAGCCGGCTCGTGCCGCAGGGCCGTCTCTGTTTTCATCCCGAGCACTCGTGGACCGGCCCGGGGCATGGCGAGGGCCCCCACGGCCTCAACTTAACGGGCGAAGAGCGGTATCAAAAAGCCCTTTTCGTCGCCAGGGGCGCCTGCCCCTGGGCAGCTGGAAAGCTGATACCCTTGCGGTGGCAACGTATGGGTATAATTTTTCCGGCCGCCCAGGGGCAGGCGCCCCTGGCGACGAACAAGTGTTGTTTTACCGTTCTTCGTTGGCTCATGAAAGTGTGAAGACACTTCGCGTCGTGTTTCTTCATGACGCGAGGGGGTCTGGGCTTTCCCCTGCCAGTGTTTCGTTGGAGGGCTCCCACGGAGGTAAGAAAGAAGAGAGTCACAGAGAGAAGAGAGTCACAGAAGAGTCCCACAGGGCTACGGAGAGTCCAGGACCGCTTCCCGAGATCGCTTGGTCCAGCAGCCGTGTCGCCCGAGACCTCTTCACAATTGGTTCCGTAGTCGCTTTCTCGCCCGAGCGCCGGCCACATCTTTGGTCCGGATGGACACGATCTTTTCAGTCAGTGCACCAAGGTGCAGACGGCTGCGCTCGCACCTCCCTCGTGGCCCCCGTGCGTGCGGGGTGACTTGGCTTGACTGACTAGGTGCACATGGCCATGCTCTCGGCCCCTATCCCCATACAGCCGACCTCCTACTCCTCGACCTGCCTCTTCACGTTTGCCATTGCTGCTGTTTAGGGTGCTGTGCTAGGACATGTTTTTCATGACGCGATGGGGTTCGGTGCCTGGTTAGGTGGAGGCCACGCTCCGGTGTCATGCCAGACTTGACAATTCGTGGGAGTTGTTGAGTGGATAAGTGGATGTTAAGGTGAGTTATATCTGGCCGAACCCAGCATGTATGTGGCTTGGGTGGGTGCGCTATCTCCGCCGTGTGGGCAGAGCCCACTTGGCCTGGATCTTTATGCCCCTAAGCCACTCATATCACTTCTGACCAAGTTATCTGCTATCACTAGGCCACCTTGGTATCCACTCATCACCCTCCCAGTCCCATAGCAGCCACGCGGTGATCCAAGCAGAGCCGAACATAGCAGCAACAACAACAGCAACAACAACAAACTCGCGTAGTGCTGCTTCACAACCATCCTGTGGTGTGGGTCCTCGTTTTGAAGAGAGAGCGGCCCGCGTTCCTCCCCTGACCTCCTCCTTCTCCTCCTCCCCCTCCTCCCTCCTCCATCAACCCCTTCTCCCCCCCTTGCCTCTGCCTTGTGCATGTCTCTGTTTCGGCACACCCCTCACATGTTTCGTGGCCCCGTAGCGAGCTCCACCGAAGGCCCTAGGGGCAGGGTTCGCATGGCGCCGCTGCACCCATTTCGGCACACCCCTCACACGCCCCGTGGCCCCATAGGGAACTCCATCGAAGGCCTCAGTGGCAGGGTTCGCATGGCGCTATCGCACCCATATCGTCGCATCCCTCACGCGCTTCGTGGCCCCATAGGGAGCTTCACCGAAGGCCTCAGCGGCAGGCTTCGCATGGCGTCGCTGCGCCCATTCCGGCACACCCTTCACACGCCCCGTGGCCCCATAGGGAGCTCCACCGAATGCCCCAGTGGCAGGGTTCGCAAGGCGCCAGCGTACCCATTTCGGCACACCTCTCACACGTCCCGTTGCCACATAGAGAGCTCAACCGAAGACCCCAGCGGCAGGGTTCGCATGACGCCACTGCACCCACCCTGGCACACCCCTGACACATTTCGTCGCCCCATAGGGAGCTCCACCAAAGGGCCTAGTGGCAGGGTTCGCATGGCGCCAACGCACACATTTCGGCACACCCCTCATACGCTTCGCTGCCCCATAGGGAGCTCCACCGAACTCTTCAGTGGCAGGGTTCGCATGGCGCTACCGCACCCATGTCGGCGCACCCCTCACGCGCTTCGCTGCCCCATAGGGAGCTCCACCGAAGGCCCCAATGGCAGGGTTCGCATGGCGGCACCGCGCAAATTTCGGCACAACTCTCACACGTTTCGTAGCCTCATAGGGAGCTCCACCGAAGGTGGGGCACACAATCGCGGCACTCACACATGCATATGGTTGGGTCTTTCGCCTGGATCATTTCATGACGCGAGGTATCCTGGTATTTTGGCTAGGTGAGCGACGTAGGATAACATAGTCGACTGCGCCGACACTGTCGCGTCGCAAGGCCGCTCGTGACCGCAGCAGCTCTTCACGCGGTGTGCGGCGCTGGCGGTCCGCGTGAGCCGCGGCGTGAGGGCTCTGTGCCATCTCGCATAAGACCCGTTTCTCATGCCGCCTGGCCTTGCTCAGTCAAAAGGTGTGTGACCGAAGTAATGATGCGCCTGAAAGTGTGACCGACACCGAATTGCGAGCGACATTGTGACTGAAACTGGAAATCAGTTTAGCTTCGAATCAGAGTTTCGGCCACACTCGGGCAGATGCTCGGGCACACCTTCGGCAAGTACACCCTCCCCTGATAGATGCGAGGCACAGCGCGATGCTTGTCTTAGCCACTCATCGAAGGAACGACTGCGTAAACATAAACTTTCGACGGTCCGCGTGGATATCTTGAATCTGCGTTGGCGCCCTGTGGCGCCGTCCGCGCGCCAGGGAGGGGGGCCCAACGCCGATCTGAGAGACCCGCGCGGACCGCCAAACGTTTCTGCTCATGCAAGTGTTGTGCCCCTCTACAGTTATGTCGGGCACGTCCTCCTACAGGCGGCTTCTGGAGGAAAAATCAAGACTAGCCAGTAATATTCAAAAGCAGTCAAAAGAGCACGGAACACCGTCCCCAGACTCCTCTTGACCATTCTCGAACATTCTTCTTGCAGAGGCATGGTCCAGCATGTTCAAAAACAGTCCAAAGAGCACGGGAAGTCGCCCCCAGACTATTCTTAACCATTCTCGAACATTCTTCCTGTAGGGGGATAGGTTTTCTCTGACCCTCCAGGTGGAAGCCACGCTCCGAAATCAGTCCCTGCGCTGGCTGCTGACCATGGCGCAGTGCGGCCTCGCGCACGGCCCCGAGGCGGACCGCCGCACGACCGAGCTGCTCGACTCCTTGCGGGCGCTGCTCTGACTCCGCCACTGGCTGCCAGCGGGCGCCACTGCGCGGCGCGGCTGGGCACTGGCAACGATGGGCGGGGATAATCTCAGGGTGGGATTCGGCGTCACCCCAAGATGCTAACACTACCTGTGCGCCGCCCCCTCCCCCTTCCCCCAAGGGGCAACGCGCGCACCGAGAGAAGTCTTTCTAGTGTGTGCGTCGTGGCGGGCGCAGCACCGCTCGGGGAACGACATACGACCAGATGGGTGCACTAGATGTTCGGGTCGGACGCGCGCCGCCAAGGAGGGCGTATAATATCTCAGAAAAAATAAGCGCATGCCACATTCATCGGTCAACGCCCCCCCCCCCATGTTCAAAGTTGGCAGTGGGTCTGATGAGTTCCTTTTCGACCGCAGTCTCCCCGCGCTTGCCAAGTTTAGAGTTTGGGGGAGCGGGGGAATGTCCACTACAGTGGAGGCCCATGCCAAGAAACCCAGGGTGCCCTGGGTTTCTTGGGTTTCGACGCTTCTGCTATGGAAAGCGGGACGCTCCCACACCAAAACTCAAAGGACCTCCTAGGGTTTCAGGGTTGGGTTGCTCGTGGAAGGTTTCTTGTGGTCGGGCTCCTGCTGTATTTGTTTCCCCCTGCCGTCCCTGACCCTCCAGGAGGGCTAAAATTAGCACCGAGACCTCGACATCTTAATTCCGGTCGAGGTTTCAGGCAGTCCAGATGGGTCATGGGACTGGAGGGCCATTTTTTAGCACTCTGGATGGTCAGGGGCAGCGCTGTCTTGCTGCGTCCCCTGGGAGCCTTCGAACGTTGCCGGCCGTGCTGCCAGGCAAGATTTTCGATGCCCGGGGCGCTTGGCTGCCATCCGCGGCGCCCCGTCGAGGGCGCGCGTGCCCTGGGAGCCTTCGAAGGCTGCCGGCCGTGCTGCCAGGCGAGGTCTATAGAGGTGCCCGGGGGGCGCTCGGCTGCCATCCGCGGCGCCCCGGTCGTGGGCTCGTGCCGTGCCAAGGGGTGGGGGGGCCGGCAGCCCGCCACGAGCGGCCGCCACAGAGGCCCGGAGGGGTAGGGCTGCAAGTCGGGCCTGCCCCTCGGCAGGGGGAGTCTCCACAAGTACTCCACGAATGTCAGGCGATCGCAGGCATGGGTTCAGGGGGCGTGGACTAGCGACGGGTCCTGCTTCCATGGGGAATCGCGGATTGTCGCCGCCGAGCGAGGCGGCACCGCATTTTGGGGAGGGCACCTCCCCCGACCCATGGACTTGGCGACCGCGCGGCAAATCCATGGATCGCTAATCCACATTTGCGCGCCTTCCAAAAATTATTTTGTGGACTATCTCTGACAATTTGGTAAGTCCAATGATAGCATCTAAGGACAACATTTGGTCAGGGCACTATTGCCCTGACGGGGCAGCCTCGTCAGGGCGCGATTGCCCTGACGAGGCTGCCCGTCGTCATCATCTTCATCGTCATCATCCTCATCATGATCGCTGGCTGCCTCAGTCATCAGCAGGAGTGCCCTGGCATCATCATCATCATCATCATCATCATCATCAATGGCATTATTACAACCATAATCATCATCATCATCATCATCATCATCATCATCATCATCATCATCATCATCATCATCATCATCATCATCATCATCATCATCCTCATCATAGGTCGAGCCTGTCGCATAACCGTCGTCGCCCTCACCATGCCCTCCCTTCACTTTACTCCAGCCACCATCGGTTGGACGCGTCAAGCTTAAACCTTTGTATTATTGAACGAAAGAGTGTCGATTGAGGGTGCCCCAAAATGTCTAGGAAAACCCGCGCGGGGGCCCCGAAGAAGTTGCAAAGAAGACTCAAGCGGTAGCCCGGCTAGCCCCGTTGTGCCCCTATCCCGATGGCCACCGATGGCCGCCGAGGGCCCAGTGTCAAAGCGCTCCTCCTCCTCCTCCTTTTCCTCCTCCTCCTCCTCCTCCTCCTTCTCCTCCTCCTCTCCTCCTCCTCCTCCTCCTCCTCCTCCTCATCCTCCTCCTCCTCCTCCTCCTCTCCCTCCTCCTACGACCGACGTCCGACGACGTGACTGCGTGTTTTTTGCCATTCCTGGAATCCCCTGGAATCCCTGGAATCCCATGGAGTCCCCTGGGATCCCCTGGAATCGCTTGGAATCCCATGGAATCGCCTGGAATCCCCTGGAAGGAGGATGCAGAGTGACGCTGAAAGGCTGGAGAATGGAAGGGGTGGGGGGGGGCAAGAGGAGCAGGGGGGTTGGGTTAGATATTTCTTCCCCTCGAAATCGAGGCCCGGGCAGTCGCCGCCCAGTCGCCGTCCAGTGAAACCAGAAGCAAGATATGAGAGGAGGGATAGGAGGGAGAGGAGGGAGAGGTGGATAGGATTGGAGATAGGAGAGGAGGCGAGGAGGGAGGAGGAAATCTGCTCATGGTCGGCACGGGTAATTCGCCCCAGCAGAAGATATTGCATTATAAGGTGCAACGCCTCGCCTGGTGCTGCGACGCAGCAAAACAAACCCGTAGGCACCGCCAGCACGCGTTGAGTGCAAACCAAATCTTGTGGATTGACTGGCCAGTTCAGGCCCGTACCAACACGTTTCGCATGCGGCTGGCGGTGCCTTTCATGACAGGCGGCCGAACCTTATAGAAACCCCGAGCTCCAGAAAAGACCGAGCTCATGACAGAAGGTGAGACCCGTCGCTGCAGCTGGCCCTCTTGCCTTTGCCTTTGGTGCCTTTGGCCTTGGACCCCTTCGAGCCCTTGCCATTGGCACCTGTGTCAGAACTGTCGGCGGCAGAAGCACTGGCGGGCGTCTTCGCGGCAGCTGCGGCAAAGCCCGCGAACCCTAAATACTCTGAAATGTTGAATCTCACAGCCTGATCGTTGTTGCTACTCTTGCCCTTGCCCTTGCCCTTGCCGAGACCTTTGGCCCCTGGCAAACGGCGCGTCAGGGCGTCTCCTTTCAAGAGACCGTGGGCAGGCTCCACATAGTGCACAGTGAGCGGCACGATCACCTTCCCGTTCACATCGCGAAGGGCCGCTAACTCGGCAAAATTGACCAGGCTCTTGGACAGCTCTACCGCGTATGCCTCCTGCTCGTAGGTCATCGTCGGCTGGTTGCTTTTGTCGGCAACTGGGATGATCCACGCAGGAACGAATGAGGCTTCCCCCCACAGATCGACCAGCTTGTCGGACGTGACACATAGGGTCAGCTTGACATCTTCTCCAAACAGCAGCGTCACAAGAGGCAACTTCGATACGTAGTTCGGTTGGCAGATCTGAACGCGTCCAGCGAAATCCGACGACCATCGGCCAGGCTGTGGACTGTGGACTGCACCGAAGGAGTAGACCCAGGTCGGCCCATTGGGGGAGGTCGAGACCGAGTCGGTGCATGATCACATCCAGTCGAGAAAGGCGCCCTACCCCTCCTCAACCTCAACATCCCCTCCGAGAACACAACCTCACATCAGTCGCCCTCGCATCAGTGTTCAGGCGGATCAGGCCAAAAGGCTTATCAGCTACAGTTTGCCGATCGTGTCAGAATTCATCCTGATAACGCAGGTCTTGGGGCCCGGAGCAGCAGGATCTTCGAAGATGCACTAGAGGTCGGCCAACCATCCGTTGCCCTTGCTCATGAAGGCGAGTTTTTAGAGCTACGATTCCAACCCCATGCTAAGCATCTTGACGAACTGAGTCGAATACGACTCCCTTGGGATATTCACAGTCTGGATCTTGTTGGCACCATGGTGGTCACCGTCGCCCTTAGCCGTGAGCGCCAGCATGCTGCCCATGATGACCGCGGCGCGCTCAGCGTCCTTGGCCGAACCCGAGCAAACGCAAAAGATTCGAAGGCTTGGAAGGGGGGCCGACCTCGGTGACCTTGCCGACCTCGGAAGCCCACTGGGCAGGGACCCTGGGCCTGGGAACCTCTGTGGAAGGCCCTCCCCCCAAGCTTTCGACCCTCAGCGAGTGTTCGATTGATGTTTGCAGCCCGCTGGTTCCTTGGCTGTATCAGGGTGGACGAGGTTGGCGATGTCTTTCATCGTCGTCACCTTCGGCAACGGATCCTCGGAGCTGCCCTTGCCGCCATCCTGGCCTTTGCTGGCGCCTGTGGTCTCTCCTTGTCCATCGTCGTCTTGCCCGCGCAGGAACGCGTTGAAAACAGGTTTGGCTTCGGCAAGGAGTTTGTCCTTCTTGTCCATGAGTGCCGCGAAGAGCCTGGACCACTGCATGGGCCACTCCTTCGCGATGTCAAAGTCACTGGAGTCGTTGGAGCAAAGGTCGCCTTCGAATGTAATGGCCAGCTGGACGAACGTGTTAAAGTTAGCCGCAATGCAATTTACAACATCACGGGCAGGAGTCGATTGCGCACATGAGTTCTCCAGGGGACCTCCGCCAAGGACTCCATCGACGAGGGCAGGAAGAACATAACTGGCGCGAATCTTCATGAAAGCTTGGATTGAACTTTTGTCTGTAAAAACTGCTGGCTTCAAACGAATGGTACTCTCCTCCTCGTTGTTGCGCAGATATTCGGCTGCCAGCATGGCGAAGTCAACCCAGGCAATTGGGATGATCGGCCCGATGCTAATCGCCAGAGTCTTGAACACGTCTAGGGGGGGCAACTTGCTTCACGAGCTTGTCCACTGTCTGCGCGTCCTTATCGAGCCCATCCCAAGCAGCTTGCATGAACTGCATGTAGGCCATGTGCATCTTAGACGGCTTATCGGGCTTGTTCGTGCTCAAGAACTGGGATATGTCCTCACCGTGTTGTTCCGCCAAGCCCTTCAACTCCACGAGATCTCTTGCTTTTTGATCCCCCTTGCTCATTTTGTTCTCGACTAGAGACATACCTACGTCGCCGTCGCCCGTTGCCTTTTTGAGCGCCTGCATCAACTCGGCTGCGACACTCTGCGCAGCACCCGGGAGGCACGGCATGCTGGAGTCCTGTTGAGCACCGTCAACCGTCACGTGCGATTCCAGGATCAGGTGCTGGACTTCTGCGCGGACGGCGCTCCACTTGTCGAGCTTCCCAGATGGAAGATTGACCTCGGCGTTCAGCATGAACTCCAAGATGTACGAGTATACCGCGGACTTCACCTTCAGCTCGATGTCTCCTGGCACTTTGATCCCGTGCGTTTCGAAGAGATTGTGCACCCTATTGACGGCGTCAACCATGTCGTCCAAGACCATGCGCTCGCGCTTCTCAGACTCATCATCGGTGCAATCCATGTCCTCCTCGTCCTCGTCATCTCCCGCGACTGCGTCGTCTTCCTCAGCGATGACGCTTGCTCCCTCCTCTCTGGCATCGACATCGACGGTCTGGGAGTCCGCCAACGATGGTGACGATCCAGACGGTCCAGACGCCAACCTCAATACCATCTTCGCAGGCGTCTCGTCTGGGAGTCTGAACGAAGACATAGACTCTGCCTTCCGTTTCTTGCCCTTGTCCTTTTCTCTCTTCTTGATCGTTCTCTCTGACGGACTGACGACCTCGCTGCTGCCCATGAGAATGCGGAGGAGGCCGATGCGCCTAGGGTCCTTCTTCCTCAGCAGCTGCGGGGGGTGCCTCTCGGAGCTCAATCGATTACTGCTCTCCTCCTCCTCCTCCTCCTGGATATCCTCCGTTCCCTCCTCCCCCTCCTCCTCCTCCTCCTCTTCTCCCTCCCCCTCCTTCCTCTGTCCGGACGGACGAGGGAGAGGTTCGTCGCCATTGGGCATATTAACAGCTTCGACCCTTCGTCGCTGCCTGTCAGAAAGGTTCAGCTGCGGACCAAGCGGAATCATGAAGCGCACCAGTTCAAAGAAGATCAGTTTCAAGTCATCGCCCTGCGCGTATTGGACGGACTTCTTGATGATCAGGACCGCCGAGTAGAGGTTAGCAAGAAGTTCGTCCTTGTCCAAGTCCACGCTTGTAAAGTCGCATTCATCTCCCAGGAACTCCAAGAACTCACTGTGCCACTTCCTTGTTCTCAGGAAGCGCATAACGGACTTCGTCTGCTCCCACTGGTCTTTGTCCTTGAAGAAGTTCTTGTAGGTAGCGTGCGTGCTGATCCACTCGAATGCCTGGACCTGAGCAGCGTACTTAGTAAGTTTGATCTTCTTGGCGTCTGCGATGTCGATCCACTCGGCCTCGATGGTCAGAGTCGCCTCCAAAACCTGGTGGACGTTAACACCAGTGCCACCGCCATGAGTATTGAAGAAGTCTCGCATCCACACGGTTATGACTTTTGGAGTCCGATGGTGGTATTCATCCAACACCAACCCTTCTCTCAAGGTTGCCGCTACATTTGAATTATCTGGGTACCTCTCGGCCGCGAAGAAGATCGCCCTGGTGAGCGATGCGTAGGATACTAGTCGCCATGGTGGTTGTCCACCACTGCTCAGCATGCCGCAAGCACCACCCCTACAGTCCTGGCAGTTGCCATGCTGTAAGATGCTGGAGACGTACTTCCTGACTGCGACGGCCTGGTGCCGCACGTTCAACTCGTGAGGCACAACCTGTCGGCGGTGGCAATCATCAAAGAAGAACGCTTGCCCCGCAAGAGGGGTCACCCAGAAAATCGATTAACCAGTTGAAGCCCGTCCAGGGCCCGCTTCCTTGACTCCAACAACCCCCGAATCTTTATGTATATCTATGACACAAACACCGATAGACCCGAATTATGTCAATCGCGGCGGATAAGGCGTAGCCATGCTAATCGACCCTGCAAGCCGCACGAACCAGAAACACCTCCTTGATCTTCGTGAGGAGCTGCAAGCCCTCGGGGACGCCTGGAAACATTGAGTCGATGGTCTGGCAATTCTGGTCGAAGTACTTGTCGAGGTGCAGGGGGGGCGCCCGAGGCACCTGGGCCGCGGTCGTCGCCGCGGGCCGTGGCCGTTGCACCTGCGCAGCGGCCGCAGCCCCTGGGCCATGGCTTGCGCGCCGCGCAGCCCTGCTCTGTGGAGGGCCTCTGGATGCCATATGCCACGAGCGAGCACCGCCCTCTGGAAGGGCTTCTGGGGCCACCTGAGGCCCGCTGGACGTCGCCAGCAAAGGTCCAAGCCAAATGGCTTTGGGGGGTCGGAGGGGAGAGGAGGAGCAGCAGGAGGAGCAGCAGGAAGAGCGGAGTGTTGGCCTTGGTCTGGTCGGAAGGAGCGCAATCATAGAGAGCATGCTCAGACAATGTTCAGATGTGTCTCTGTTCAGATTGCTCTCTCTCTCTCTCTCTCTCTCTCTGCTGTAGGTGCCCCCCACCTTCGTCATATCCTCATCCACAGGCCACTGACAGCCACTGATGCTGCTGCTGATGCTGCTGCTGCTGCTCCATTCCTCCTCCTTATCTTCCTCCCCCTCCTCTTCCTCCTCCCCCTCCTCCTCCTCTTCCTCCACAATCCTCTTCCTCCTCCTCCCCCTCCCTCCCTGGGGGGCGCCCCTCCCCTTTCTTGTCCAGTCGTTTCCAAATGGGCCATGGGGTCGACCCGTCCTCCCTGGGGTCAGGCGCCCTATGCAAGCACCCCCCTGGGCTCCCCTCCTTATCCTCCCCTTGTCCTCGTATCCTCGTATCCTTCTCCCGGGCCCCCTGAGGGCCCCCTGCCCCCACTTGTCTCACCCCCGCTGCTTTCCCCAGGCAAGCGGCCCCTCCCCCTCCTCGCCCTCATCTTCTTCACCTTCCCCCCTCCTCCTCGGCCTCGCTGGGCACTGGGCCCCACACGTCAAGGGCAAAGAGTGAGGAGGTGGAGGTGGGCGACAGCGACGCGAGGGACGCGGGGGGGAAGATGGGGGGGGGGGACGGGGAGGGATGAGGCCGAGGAGGGGAGAAGGGAGGGGGAGGCGGAGAGGCAAGGAGGAAGAGGAGGCGGTAGGCGGTCGGAAGAGGTCGGAGGAGGAGGGGCGGAGAACGCAGCAATACCACCACCTCCACCGTCTTCCTTGGCTGGGGTCGCCTTGACCCTCGGGATTGCCTTCTGGCTTCGGCTGCGACCAGGAGTCCAGGAGGGCGTGGTAGTCCCAGAATGGCTCTGCTAAGGGCGTGCAGTGGTGTATACTGCTGCGTTCACTGCGATGACGACGCCGACAGCGGCGATTTGAAATCGTCTCGCGACGACGTGCGCGCTGGTTTCCGACGCCGCTTGGATCGTTCAACCCGCTCGGCCGCTCCGCGGCATTCCGATCGTCAGGACGTTGAATTTCGGCCGACTCAGCGGCGGTCTAACCTTGAGCATCCGCTCTGGGATCGGCGCCACGTCGACCTGACGTAAACTTCACGATTGCTAGTTTCTGCTGTCCCAGTAGGTCGAGCTACGGCCCTGCGGAGTCTAGCGAACCGAGGGCTCCCCAGTCGCTGTGCGGCGCACAGCGTGTGCACGAAATCAGCGTGCCAGTCAGGCGGGCTGGCCGAACTATCTACGAGAGCCTGCGCTTCTTGCCGCTCCTGCGCTCCTTGTTCTTGAAAATCTCGCCCAGCGAGTCGAACGGGTCGCTGGCCTCCGGGCGCATCCTCTGAACCTCCAAGTCCCCAACGATTGCCTTCTGCTTCGGGTACGTGTCGCCGAACCGCACGCAGAGGAGAACGTAGCAGAGCACCGCGCCAATCACTGGGACTTGCATGCTGTCACCTGCTGCGACCACCATGTCTTTGCGGTGTCGCTGCGGAAGGTCATTGTCTCCCACCAGCCTCCCATAGCTGCACGTCCTCACGCAATCTCCACAAGGGTTGCTCAGCTCGTTGAGCACGGGGAAGCCCTGGCACACCAGCATCTCGTAGCCCGTGATCCACCTCTTGATGCCCTTCGCATTGCTCACCACGAAATGCAGGGCTGGGTTGGCGATGAGCGGATGCAAGATCCCGTCCTCGCTGCTCTTGATGCCGTAGCCGCGTTCCTCACTTTGATTGAGCATCACCGCGCGCCCGTCAGCGATGCCCTTCAGCGTGTACTCGTCCAGGAACTTGAGCTCGCCGAACGTCAGTGCGTCGTAGTATGGCTCCGACGACGCGTTGATCAGGTCGTGCACGGTGTCGTACTTGTGCTGCGCCCTCGAAGTGGGTCGGTTGGACGCCCATGCCAGCTCGTCGGCCAAGTTGTCCCCCAAGCGACCGTCCTTATCCGCCACCAAGAACTCCAGGAACGTACACTTCAGAACCCTGTGGAACAACGGGAGCACGTTCTTCATGCTGAACACCACCCCGGTGACGAACTCCTTGGCAGGGAGGAGCAGTATGGTCAGCAGTGCTTCTACGACTGTCGTTGCGCTGCCTGGAAGATGACGGCATCGTGAAGATGCCGTCATCCTCCAGGGCTGCGAATCGTTGGGAGAACTTGGAAACTTGGAGTACCTTGAAGACCAAGAGCCCTCCTGGGGCTGGGGCTCTCTGGGAGTCTCCTTGGCGCTCACGGTTAGGGCTATTGCGGTCTATTCGGACCATTCAGGGCCAAATTTTCATGCTTAGAAGCTGTCCTTGTTGACCATGACTGCGTAGATCCTGTCGCGCTTCCCTGCCCAGCCGAAGAACGGCCCGCCCAACTTCAAACATTCGATGGCGTACATGTCTCCGAACAAGGTGATGAGAGTCTGCTCCCTGAACCTGTCCGAGTTCTCGAAGACGACCACCTTGGGCTTCGTATACCGCACAGTCCCAGCCCAGGCTCCAAATGCGCTCATGTGATCATCGGACTCCAGGGCTTCCCGCTTGCCGAACTTTGAGAAGGGCTTGCAGGAGACGCCTGCCACGTGAATGTCAACGTACTCCATAATGCAGTCTTTGTTGCACTTGCTGCACTTCGCCTTCGCGTTCACAGCACGATCGCTGAGAATGAGCGGGAGGATGGAGTTCAAATTCACCTGTTGCGTTGTTGAGTTGCAGTGTGGCGAAGATAACGAGACGACGGCTTGATTTCACTATGCGGCCTGACGAGGCCACGGGCGACTGCTAACACGCCCTGTCCAGATCGACGCAGGAGCCCCGAGATTTCAGAGGATGTGTTTCAGCACCGAGGTTTCCAAGACACCAACATGGACAGACAAGGTACAGCCTTCGAAACGATCCGACCAGGATAAACGCAGGAACACACTCCACATTGCAAGTCAAGCTGACCTTCTGGCCCTCCGATTTCAGACGATTGATCGTCGACTTGATCTCCACCTTCCAGAAGTCCTCGTAGTCGCTGAACATGCACCTCGGCGCGTGCGGTGACAGCCGCAGCTCTGCCTTCTTCTCGTGATCGATCTCCACGGCGTACTCGATGGTGGGCATGATAGCGTTGCTCTCCTGATCGGGCACGTGCTTACCCGGGTAGTGCTTCTTGAAGTACTGCAACAATTGGCAACTCATCATGGCCAACGCAGTCCCTGGGGCGTCCACGCCCGCCCAACCGAGGCCCACCTTGGTGATGGTCATGTTGTGCACGAATCTGGTCAAGGCTGCGCCAGTGCCATCAACTGTGCACTGCAGCCCGTCATCCTGGTTCGCATGCCGGAGCGCCTCGTTGAGGCCGATGGACACGTCCGCCGCACCGAAGTAGTCCATCGGCCACCGGAACATATCCCACACGTCCTTGACCTCAGGGTATGGGCCGTCGTACTCGATGCTCCTGCCGTCACCACGACGCTCGCCCTTCTTTAGCGACCCATACCCGCTCCACTTGATCGACCTCAAGTTCTGCGCCTCCACTCGCGCGGCCAAGTCTGACCACGACTGTCCCGACGGTCCTGCTGCGGCGCATGCGGAGCTGGCCCCATCTCCGTCTGAGTCATTCTCATCGTGCTGCATGGCATCAAGAATATCCTTCGAAGTCAACGATCGCCCAAGCTGCGGACCTTGTCTCGCTGATGCTGCTGCTGATGTTGCATCGGCTGATGATGCTGCTGGCGATGATGATGAGGCTCCTGATGGCGAAGCCGACGCAAACGAACTTGCGCCAGCCGCGGGAGAAGGTGCGCCTGATGCAGCAGCGTCGACCGCGCCGTCGGCAATGGCTTGCTTCTCTGGCGCATGCGACGGCTTGAAGACATTCGGAGCGGTCTGCACGCAAGGCGCGGCGGTGCGACTGTCGAAGATGACGTGCACCTGCGGCGAAAGATGGAGAGAGGGAGAAGAGGGAGGAGTGAGGGAGTGAGGAGGCAGTTGAGAAGGCCCAGGGAGGAAAGTCTGGAGTCGCCAAGAAATGTAAGTCTCGAAGTCTCTTGAGCCCTCTGGAATTATCTGCACTCCTCTGGCTTAGGGCTTAGGTCCTCCAACTGCCTCCTCTCCGACTCCTCTCCTCATCCTCATCCCTGGGCACCTTGTTCGTGGTCGTGCCAACGCACGTGATCGCCATCGGAGTGATTCCCGCGGACTGGCGCAGCTCGATCATGTAAAGCTTCTGGCTAACGCCAGCCATGCGCTCCATCTCGACATCATCATGGACCTTGTGCTTGGTCTTCTGCCTGTCGCTCTTCAGATCCTCCAAGTGATAGGAGCAGATGCCGTAGTAGCTCGCCTGTCTCTGGCATATGACCGTCTTGGATGCCCCCTGGGGGCAGAGCGTTCCCAAGAAGACAACGGTCGGGATCGTCTTCGGCTGGTGGTGGAAGGTCCTCGAGGACAATATGGCGGCGGCGCCATTCTCGAACCTCTGAAGGTCAGCGTCGCTCACGATGAAGCAATGGCGCCTGTGCTCCTCTCGAATGCAATCCATGTGGACCCTCGCCATGGACGCTGACCCACTACACTGCGCGGGGCCAAGTATTACCAGGCGCCGCCAGGCGCCCAAAAGGCGCTCAAAGGGTTCGAGCCACAATTGCGACGTTACGTTTGTTATGTTGCGTCGTTTGGGCGGACGTTGCCTGCGTATAATTTGACCGTCTAGGGCCGTCAAGGATGCAACCCCTTTGCGAGCTCTGGGCGCATGCAGGTCCAAACGACGTAAGGGTAGGTGCTATGTTGCTGCCTGGTAGGTGTACTGCTGCTGTCTGGTAGGTTTCGTTTTCTGTCTGGTAGGTGTTATGGTGCTGTCTGGTAGGTCTTATGTTGCTGTCTGGCTGTTAGGTTTCTTGTGCTGTCTGGTAGGTGTTATTATGCTGTCTGCATGGGTGTTCTATGCTGTCTGGTAGGCGTCCTGTGGATCACAAGGAGATGGAATGAGAAGTAACAGTGACACAGTGACGCAGGATAACCAGGCGAGAGAGTGCCATTTCAGACACCACCCCGAACGATCTACTGATGCCAGCTGCCAGCGCACTGGCCTGTCGATGCGGCCTCCGAGCATCGCCGCACGATCCTGCCACAAAAATCCAAACGAGCGACGCAGCGACGCAGCAATCTGATGAAGCTGCACCTCCGAGCAAAGAAAGCTGCCTGCAGGTAGGCTCAAGCTGGTTGTGTGCCACACGATGCCCGCTCACTTCTGCCGAGTCTTCGGGCCTGCATTGCACTCCACCTCAAAGAAGATCTTATAGTTGGTGCTCTCGACGGGCAGCTCCCCCAACTTCACTGGGAACCTCGAGCCCAACTTATCGACGAAGCCCAGCTGGATGCCTGGCGGGACGTCATCCCACTTGTCCCAGCGAGAGGCTGCCGTCATGATAAGTTTCTCCGTGGTGATCTTCTTCGTCATGGGCGGCGACCGTGAGCGAGGAACCTCGGCTCCCGCCGCAGCGCTCTTCTTGGCATTGGTGTCCTTGGCTTGGGGCAGCGGCGGCGGCGCCGCTGCTACAACCGCCGATGCCGATGCCTTCTGGTTGCTGATCACGGCTGCTGGTGCACAAACTGCCTTGTTGAGCGCCTGCGTGAACGCCGAATGCTGCGGCGATGGGGCCTGGCGAAGCGACTCCGCCACATCGGCCACATCGGAGAAGCTACGCAGTGGCGCGACCGATGAAGCATGTCCTGATGGCGACGGGCAGGGCGACGGGGTTGGCGTCTGCTGCGACGGGATCGCGTTGTCTAAGTCGGCTGTGAGCATGCGGCGATGCTGCAACACGTCTGGTGGAATAACGGAGATGCCGTATTCCGGTGGCAACTGGGAGTCCGTTAGGGAATCGGGCGGCCCTTCCCATTGGGTATCGCCGCCGCCATCAAACATCTCGAGCGTGCCACACGGTTGCGTGGCTTCCTCTGCTGCCTGAATCATATGTTTCGCCTTGGGAGGCGCCGTGAACGGTATGGAATGGCAGTCTGTTGCGTATGCGTAAGCCTCCACAAACACGTCGGCGCCAGAACGCTGAGCCAAAACACTATTACTATACCCCTGGAGGAATTGAAGGAATGGGGCGAAGAGGGGGAGTCAGACGAGGAGACGAGGATATCGGTAGCAGAGGCGATGCTGGGAGCTCGTATCATGAGCTAGGGCATGACGAAGAGGGGCAGGAAGCAGGAAGAAAACCACTGGAGGGCGGCGTCGACATGGTTCATCCGCACAGCGTGTCTCTTGTTGCGTGGTGCACATCGCCATGAATTCGGCGGGGGTTAGATTACAGTTAGACTCTCGATGTGCGAAAGTTGGTTTGCGGTTCGCAATGATGTGTGCCAACTAATGCGTACATGATGTTTGCAAATCCATAAACATATAACGTTGTGTTTGCTTGTACATCGCATACTTTAGCAGCTCCGTCGGGGCAGATGCCCCGACCAGGGCAGCTCGTCAGGGCAGATACCCTGACAAGGTAGCCTTGTCAGGGCAGTTGCCTTGCCAGAGGAGGCTCGCCAGGGCAAATGCCCTGACGCGATGGCTTCGCCAGGGCATTTGCCCTGGCGGGGGGCGCTCGACAGGGCGATTGCCCTGCCAGGACACCCATGGCAGGGCAAACGCCCTGACGAGGCCACCCGTCAGAGCAAACGCCCTGGCGACGCCGTCATGTCAGGGCGTTTGCCCTGACGCGGCCTCTGGGCCAGGGCATGTGCCCTGGCGAGGCCGTCGTGGCAAGGCAATTGCCCTGACGACGCCGTCAAATCAAGGCAACTGCCCTGACGAGGCCACCCGTCAGAGCAAACGCCCTGGCTCGGCTTCCTCGGCAGGGCAGATGCCTTGACGAGGCCGTCCTGTCAGGGCAAATGCCTTGGCGAGGGGGGCCCGTCAGGGCAAACGCCCTGAGGACGCCACCTCGCCAGGGCAGTTGCCCTGACAAGGCCGCCCTGCCAGGGCAAATGCCCTGACGAGGCCGTCGTGTCAGGGCAGTTGCCCTGGCGAGGCTTCCTCGTCAGGGTGCTTGCCTTGCCACGCCACGGTTGTCAGGGCGCGTGCCCTGACAGGGCGGCCCTGTCAGGGCGATTCCCCTGACGGGGCGGCCTGAACAGGGCAAATGCCCTGACAGCACGGCCTGGTCAGAGCAGTTGCCCTGACGAGAAGGACCTTGTCAGGGCGTTTGCCCTGACAAGGCGGCCCCGCCAGGACAAATGCTCTGACCCGGGGACCTCGTCAGGGCAAACGCCCTGACATGACGGCGTCGTCGGGGCATTTGCCCTGACAGGTAGGACCTCGTCAGGGCGCTTGCCCTGACGGGTCGATCTCGTCAGGGCAATTGCCCTGGCGGGGCGGCCGTGCCAGGGCGTTTGCTCTGACGGGGTGGCTTCGCCAGAGCAGTTGCCTTGCCATGGTTGGCAAGGCAGGCGCGTCAGGGCAAATGCCCTGACGGGGCAACAACGTCAGGGCGTTTGCCCTGACATGATGGCCTCGTCAGGGCAGACGCCCTGACAAGGTCCTTCCCGTCAGCGCATTTGCCCTGACAAAGCCGCCATCTCAGGGCAAATGCCCTGACGAGGTCGCCCTGTCAGGGCAAACGCCCTGAAGATGCCCCCCCCTGTCAGGGCATCTGCCCTGACAAGGCGCCCTGTCAGGGCAAATGCACTGACGAGGCCGTCGTGTCAGGGCAGATGCCCTGACGGGGCTTCCTCGTCAGGGCGCGTGCCCTGCCACGCCATGACTGCCAGGGCAATCGCTCTGACCAGGTTGTCTCGTCAGGGCATTTGCCCTGACGGGACGGGCCCTGTCAGGGCGATTGCCTTGACGGGGCGGCCTCGTCAGGGCATTTGCCCTGGCAGCGCGACCTGGCCAGGGCAGTTGCCCTGACTGGAAGGACCTTGTCAGGGCGTTCGCCTTGACGGGGCGACCCCGTCAGGGCAAATGCCCTGGCGCGACGACGTCGTCAGGGCAGTTGTCTTGGCGGGACGGCATCGTCGGGGCATTTGCCCTGACGGGGAAGACCTCGTCAGGGCGTTTGCCCTGACATGTCGACCTCGTTAGGGCACTTGCCCTGGCGGGGCGGCCGTGTCAGGGATTTTGCTCTGACGGGGTGGTTTCGCCAGGGCAATCGCCTTGCCATGGTTGGCAAGGCATGCGCGTCAGGGCAAGTGCCCTGACGAGGTTGCCCCGTCAGGGCGTTTGCCCTGACAGGATGGCCTCGCCAGGGCAAGCGCGCTGACGGGGCGACCTCGCCAGGGCAATTGCCCTGACAGGACGGCCTCGTCAGGGCATGTGCCCTGACGCGACGGACTAGTGAGGGCACATGCCGCTGCAGGGCTATCTTGTCAGGGCGCGTGCCCTGACACGGGGGCCTCTGTCGAGGCAGTCGCCTTGCTGTGCAACCTCGTCAGGGCATTTGCCTAGACATATGAGGCGCGCCAGGGCAAATGCCCTGACCGTCGCGGCATTTGCCCTGACAAGGCGGCCGCGTCGTCAGGGCATTTGCCCTGACGAGCCCCCCCCCCGCCAAGGCCAATGTCTTGGCGACAATGTCGTGTCAGGGCAACTGCCCCGACGAGGTCGACCCGCCATGCCCGTCAGGGCAAACGCCTTGCCAGGGCGACCTCGTCAGGGCAACTGCCCTGACAAGACATCCTTGTCGGGGCGATCGCCCTGACGGTGCAGCGTCGCCAGGACTTGCCCTGTTGACGCGCTCTCGTCGGGGCATGCCGCCCGGGCATGCTTGCAGCCACGGTCAGGAATAGGCGCATTACACATGTTCCGAATAAGGAGGTCGGGTGGATTGTATGATCGTGTCTTCATGTTTGTTGTGTGCGTGTTGGTTTTTTGCGCATTATTTCGTGATGATATTATGTTGTGTGTCGATCATTGTTTAGCGTTCGTGAGGCTTGATGTATGACTGTGTTTTGTTGTGGGTAAATGGTTTCAATTAATTGCTTCAGACTGTTTTGCTTACGGGTTTTGTTTGTGATTGGCTCGTGAGGCTTCCTTAGTGCTTGGGTGAGATCCTTTAGGCAAGGGGCCGCGCTAGAGCGCAACACAACACAACACAATATACACAATACAACAACACAGACTCAACAACACAGACTAAAGGACGAGGGCGGCACAGACGGGGAGTAGGATCATGGAGGAGGTGGTGGATAATTCCTGAGGTTACTCGGTGCACAATGAATGGAGTCCTGGGCGGGACGGCAGACGCAAGAGAGGACCCTGGGGTGACCTTGGGGCCTTGGGGCCTTGGAGATGAGATGAGATGATTAAGATGAGGCGGAGGACGGTGTTGACTCGTTGGCGAGGATTGTCTGTGCGCAGCCGACCCTCCGAGCGGCAGGAGGAGTCGACGAAGCGAAGCGCTGGGGCGGAGCGCTGGCCACTGTCCGCAGGCGGCGGGGCCGAAGGACGGTCGCACCCCAACTGTGCTCTTATGCCCTCGGGCGGTCAGTGAATCTGCGCAAGAGGCGGCAGCCTTGCGCATGGCGCACGGCGCATAACGTACACCGATCGGCGCACGAAAAAGACCTCCCAACTCAATTCGGACCGAAGTCATCCATCCACTCGGATTCCCAGTCCGCCACGATGGAGTACGTCTTGGGACTCTTGCTCTCCACGTCGATCGTCTTGACCGTCACAAGCTGGTCGATGCACGCGTAGTAGCTCAGATGCGTGGCGATGACCGTGTTCGGCTTCAGCGGCGGCTCGATTGCAACGGCCGTGGCGCCGCCAGAGCACCTCCAAATCCGGGTAGTGGCGATGGAGTCGGCGGTGCCAAGCCCGCGCTCTTCGAGGACCTTCATCAGACACTTCTTGAGGTGGACCACGCAATGGCTCTCGCGACCACCTGGGCGACTCCACCCTCCGAAGTTGGGCACAGGCACGTTGATCCACTTCTGCATGTCGTGGACCCACACGATGACCTCCTCGACGATGTTCTCAGGAGTTGGGCTCAACGGATCTTCTTTCGACCACGCTTCGTCAAGCGTCGACTGCAGGGACTCCTCGCTGGCCTGGCTAGATCCGATGTAGAACCACTTGTTCGAATACAATACTTCTTCTGGTGCATAAATGTTTGCCTTTGGCGTTGGAGGCTTCAATATGTTCCTGCCGTCAGCAGTCTTGATGACCTTGCCCTGCGCGGTGGAGACTACGATGGTGCTGTCCTCCTTGTCGGAGTAGTGAGAGAATAATTTACGCAGCGTGGCGATGATGTCTTTGACCATGATCGGCTTGTGGCCAGCCTCGGACTCGTCACCCTTGTGGACTGGCACAGCGACCTTGGCCCACGTGTTGAAGTCCTCCAGCCACATGTTGACCGTTGTCAGCTCCTGCACGTCGCCCATGAAAGCGAACGACCGCATCATTGATTGCGCGGTCTGATGGCCGGGCTGGGATAGCTCGGCACGCGGAAGGCTTGCAGACTGACCTTCGAGCCAAAATGGCTGTCTGGCGGCTGGCGTTACTCTCCAGTGCGCTGGCACGTTTAACACATGACTCTGGAATCCAGTCTTGGAGTGTCGAGGCATCATCACAATTTGATTCAGTTGGACGCCTGATCGAGATATCATCACAATTTAACTCAGTTGGACGCTTGATCGAGACATCATCACAATTGGACTCGTTTGGACGCCCCATTGAGATATCATCACACTTTGACCCAGTTCGACGCCTGAGGAGGAGGAGGAGGTCGAGCGGTGGAGAGATGGATGAGGAGGGAGGCATGGAAGGAAGAGGATGGATGAGGGAAGCGGGCACATCGAGTAGTTAACGGCGCGAAAGGGCAGGAGAAGGACGATGCATGTTGCCTATATGTGCTCCTCCTCTAACATATTGCCTCCAACCTCTGCCTCCATCAGCAATCCCCCTCCATCCTCTGTCCTCCTGCGTCCTCTTCCTCCAGCCTCCCACCTCCACCCTCCCGCCTCCTCTTCCTAATCCGTGCCCCTCCCCTCCTCTTCGCCTCTTCGCCTTGACTCCTTGACTCCTTGACTGTTTGCTCAGGCTGTTGCTGAAGGCTGAGGGCCGATTCCTGGCCTGTCAATCTGACAGACTTTCATGCAAAGCTTGCACATGGCCCGTTCGGCCATGCCCTCCTTGCCGCCAGCGAGCGGCTGCGCAAACAAGTCCGGCAGCCACGCGGGCGGTTCGTGGGCAGTGCGACGCTGTTGCAGCGTGTGGCACAGATCTGCCCAGATGTCCGCATCGGGAATCTTCTCCTCGATGCGATTGCAACAGCGGGCGTGCCAGTGGCAGAGGCAGAGCGGGCACACAACCGTGGGGCCTGAGTTGGCCGCGGGCTCTTCGCCGCAAGCCACGCACGTATCGTCCAGCTCTGCGAACGATCCACCTGCTCGAGCTGCCTCCCACATACGAATTAAATCAACGAGCGCAGGGTCGAGCCTAAATCGGGGCCCCGTCTTAGTCAAGACGCCAATGGCAGGATGGACAACTTGCCACCCATCAAACCGCTTCTCTTTCACCCTGGCAGCTGTGGGCCACACGGCCTCCCAGGTTCGAAGAGGATTCGTTGGGTCGATGCCGCGTTCAAGTCTAACGGGCCTCCCCAACAAAATCTTAGGGAGCGACCATTCTACGCAAGTGACGTCACTATCATTGTCGCCAGGGGGCGGCGCCATAATAGACATCTCAAATCGGGGCTTGCTCACGCGCCCCAAACATAACTGTTCTCGCGCGCGCTGGCTACTATCGAGAACAGTTGCACCGTCAGATGCGCCCTGCCGCCACCGACGAAGGGCGCCTGAAACGTTCAGCGAGGGTTCAGCGTCTGGCGGCTGAGCTGGAGGTGGCAACGGTGGCTCCCTCGAGCTGCCGTCAAACGCAACGACGTCTAAAACAGCCGACTCGTGCTCGAAATCTAAATCTTCGGCTTCTGTGGAGCGCATGCGGGCGTCCAGCCCTTGCATCGCATCCTCTCGAATTTTCTTGTATTTCTGTGACCCTAGAACGGCATTGACCAAACGAGCCTCAAGACTACTCACTAAATCGTCTGGGCCCACTCTGGAGCCAGTCTTTGTTTGATTGATGGTTTGGCACTGGTTTGGCCTTGAGTCGCACGCCCTTGTCACTGACCCAGACAAGTCGCTTCCCAGAAGATACCATGGCTGCCGTGGTGAATTCAAGGAGGAACGACCGAGGTGCGATGCGAAGGCCCCACTGGCCCCACTGGAATTTTGCGTGACCCTGGGCCAGAGATCTGAGTCCTGGGTTCGGCGGTCAGGCGCAGCCTTTGTGAATCCTCATTCGCATCCGCCGTGTCCTGCTTGATCCACTCTGCGCGCTTGGCGTCCGCCTCCTGCGAGCCGCCGCCCTCGCGCTGCAGCTCGCGCTCCAAGACCTAGCATGGGTGGCAACAGATGGATAGTGAGGGCGAGACGGAAATTGAGAGTTGGGGGTCAAGAAGAAACACGACCGCCCCTCGCTCGGCGCCGCTTCGGCGAGACGACGCGACACAACGCGCTCATCTCTTCCTTACGTCGCGACGCGACGTCGTCGTCGTCGTCGAGGCACCGATCGAAGGGCGATCGCGGTGACCCGACCGTGACCATGACAACGCCCCAGGGCCCCCAGGGCCCATCGGGAAGTTCCGCCCGGGCTCTTCACATCAAAGCACACGTTTCACACTGACGATGGCCCCTGGATTGGAAATCTCGCCGAACATGTCGAGCATCCTTCGGAATCCTTCCAGGTCTGCCCCACCCAATCCCCGCCACAATTTCATCAGAAACACCAGTGGAAGCAACAAGCATTATTCCGCAATCCCAGAACCTTCTCCTCAGCTGCCTCTCGCGCTGGGTCTGGACCTCCCCACTCATGAACATCAGCAGCATCAGCTTCGGCAGGCACGTCCCTGGCCCCATCAGCTTCGCCATCATCATCATCCGGGTCGCCAGGTGGCAGACCAGCATCGTGATCTCCAGCAGCATCTCCGTCATCGTGCGCATCGTGAGCAGGAATCTCGACGTGAGCCCGCCGATGTGTCACTGGAAAGAGTATGGATCCTTTCTTCTGAATTATTGCATAGAGGTCGCGCATGGCTGGCACATCTGGATCCAGGGCAACTTCTTCGGGGTTATCGTAGCGCCATATCATCTTATGGACACTGGAACTCATTACATATGGCGATAGCGCTGCTTCTACAGCTTTGTCGAAGGTGAGTTCGTTCAGCTGCCTGTGGCACTGAGTGAACAAGTCTATGGAAGATATCCGCTCGCCCGACGTCGACGGGCTGAGATGGAGATAGCATGCCCACGCGTATCACACATGCGCACGCAATTTTCAACCCGACCCCGTCGGCCCGACACCACGCGCTCCCTGCTCGTCCGTCGCCAAAGGTGCCGAAGTTACGTCATGGGCTCACGGGCCCTCATGGGCCCAAGGGGGGAAAGGGGATTGCGGCAAAACGGCGAAGCCTCTTAGCTGAACTCGCACGGATCGCTGATCTTACCAATGAAATAATCTGGGATGTTCGAAGGTGATAGATTGATCTTCAGCAGTTCGGAAGTCGTGTAGTTGGTGTCAGCCATCATGTAGCCGACAGAATGATCGTTATACGTTAACAGGTCGAAGTCGTCGGGGTTGTCTTCGTCGATGTTCCCCAGATTGCACATCCCAACGACGATCAACTGGTTCGCGTCTGGCCTCCCAGAAGAGCAACGGAACAGCTTCACGCTGTATGATTTTGCCCACAGGGCTGCAGGCGATGTGTCGACAGGGCAAGCAACCTTCAATGTAGCACTGACATTCACGTCCGTCTCGATCGGCTTGGCCGCCTCGAAGCGCGCATCCTCGATGGCGATGCCCTGAGCCTGTTCTGCAAATGGCAAGAGTTGTCTCAGCAGCGCCTCCGCCCGCGGTTTGATACTCGACCACCTCATGCTCGCGCCTCTGGTCCCCACCCCGAGCCACTTCTTCACGTTGATGCGCGAACTCATCAAAGGCAAGCCGATATTTCTGCATCGCATATTCATCTGTCTGATCAAGCTGTTGTACTGCTCGTTGTCCCTGACGTCCGCCTTGGAGTAGCACCTCATGCACATGGTAATGCTGTACAACAGCGTGCCGCATGTGCCCGTGTCACGCGCCTGCACGAGATCATGGTGGCACAGGGCTCGGAGCTTGCGCGTGGTGATCTCCAGCTCGCCCTCCGCCGCCTCGAGGATTCTGGAAGCCATTCCTGGGCTGGGCATGTGCAACTCGAGAGTCAGCAAAAGGACAAGGTTAGGGCCCTGCTTGAAAAGATCGTCTAGCCCAAGGCCTCCCCCATCGCCGCGGGTTCAGCTTGACTTGACGATCCACTCAAGTGGACACTAGTGGGCGCCCTGCCTTGACCCCCGTAGCACGGCCCCTCTTTCTGAGGTCTCTGGGGCCGCGGCGATGTCGGCAGTCGACGCAGGGGCGTGAGTGCGCCAGCTTGACCAAGCAATATGGAAACCTCGGCACTCGGGCCACGATCCACGACAGTCACGACAGCAGGCAGAGTGACGAGTGGACCCCCTCAGCCTTCTGCCCGCCCCACCCCCCTTGGAGGGGGGGAGGGCGGGAGGAAATGTGGGAGTGACCACCTCCTGTCATCCGACCCTCTGGACCCTCTCCCCCCCTTTCTTGTCATCCCCGGGACCCCCCCTCCTTTCCCCCTCCTCGCCCTCCTCATCCTGAGCGATTTGCTCTGACGCTGGACCTGTCCAGATCCTTCAAGATCCTCCTGTTGTACGCGGCAGCGTGGTGGGCGTTCAGCTCAACGGTGAAGGCCAGCATATCTGGAAGCACGTGCTCGCCCAGATCGCTCAGGTGACTCATTGCCGCTGCCCACTGGAAGTTGCGGAAGCACTTAGTGCATTCCTCGAGTATTTCTTGACCCTTGCCCATGATAAGTTGAGCAACCACATTGCCATATGTCTCGATGTGTTCGGTGCTCCGTGCTTGTGATACGAACGCCATGTGGTGCTGGAGGGCCTCGTGGGAGTCGGTTGCCACGTCCACGACGATCCAAAATAACTCATCACTCACCGTGCGGAGCACGTCCGATCGCCACCGCCCAAGTCGGGCACTATACTCTCTCGATGTCTCATTGGCGGCATCGTCCAACGCTGGCACGTTGCCGTCCCTCTTCTCCTTACCCTTCTTCTTAGTCTCGACGGCCTGGCGGATGATGGCGGGCAGCTGCCGAATACCAGTGCCCGCATTGCTTGCGCAAAAGCGCAAGTGCTTCTCAGTCGAGTAAATTGAATCCCATCGGCCAGCCAAACACTTTGGAGGTAGGCGAGCAGCGCACTCTCGTGCCGCTCTGGGCCCGAAGGTGCCCTTCCAAATATCATAGATGTCGCCAGCCATGTCTCTCCAGACCTCGGGCGCAACCGCAACCGTTAAAGAAAAACCTCTTCTTCCTCCTCCTCCCCCTCACTTCGCTTCCTCCTCCCCCTCCTCCTCCTTCTCCTCCTCCTCCTCCTCCTCCTCCTCCCCCTCCTCCTCCTCCTCCCTCCCCCATCGTGTGTTCGTCCCCGTCAAAAGTTGGTTGAGCCTATACTTGGCCCTGTGACCTGCGTAACTTTTGACAGGGAACTGAAGTATTTGAACGTCTTCTCGACCCTGCCAAGGAACCTATCAATCAACTCCAGTCCTGTTTTGATAATCAACTGCAGCCTGTGCATCAGACATGGGTAACCAATCACCAGCACGTGGCCCTGGAGGGCCGTCTCTGCGATCAGCATCCGTTTGAATTTCATCTGATCCGGGCCGCCGTCGCTAGTGTAGAGAAGTATTCTCACCAACCGATGTTCACCTTGCAGCGTGCCGTGCAGAACGTTCGCGGCAGCAGCAGCAGGCCCATCCGAGACGGACGAATATTTTTTCCAGACGGGGCAGCCCAACGACACGAGTTGTTTCCAGATGAGGCCCATCGTTGCTTCTGCTGTCGTGGACGTGACCTTGTGCAAGTCTGCATAGGCTTCGAAACTCACGTTGTTCGAAAAGAAACCATTCGTTTCCACATTGCGATGGTCGCCGATATAAACCGAAAGCAACTTCAAGGCCTGCAGCTTAGCATTCCGCCACACTCCTGAATTGGTGGCGTCGCTGCTGAAGGAATGGCACGATATGAAGGTGTGGCCGCGACCAGCGCGACCAGCGAAGCTCCTGATTTTGGCCTCGCAGTGGAAGTGGAAGAACCTAAAGGCCCCGATCAAGGCCGAGCCAACAGCCTCCTCGCACGCCGTCACCGTTTGGCGGCTGATGACCGCTAGCTCCATTCCTGGAACCAAGGGCTTGCAATGATTAGGTGTTTTGATGTTTTGATACGTGACGTTCAGATGTTATGATGTGTTATGATTTGTTGAATTTGTTGAGATGTTATGATTGATGTACTTTTATGTTATGTTATGCTATGTTATCTAGTGCACGTTGTTTTTGGTTGAGTTGAAAGGGTTCGCATGGAACCCGGGCCAGGTGTCGAGGTGATGTGATGGAATTGAGTGGTTGAGTGGCGGAGTGCGGCGTGAAGCCAGCCTAATCGTGCATGAGGACGCACGAGAAGTTTTCGGCCGACACGTTGCACAGGTTGCGGCGGAGGCCCACAACTATGGTGGACTTGGGCGTCAAGTGGTTGCTCTTGCGCCCCACGCGCAGCTTGCTGCTGCGATACACGAGGTTCCAGGCCATGTCATCGGCATCTGGCTCCTCGGATGGTTCACTTGACTGCGCTCCTCCTCCTCCTCCTCCTCCTCCTCCTCCTCCTCCTACTCCTACTCCTACTCCTACTCCTACTCCTACTCCTACTCCTACTCCTACTTCTCCTCCTCCTCCCCCTCCTCCCCCCCCTCCTCCCCTGTCCTCTCTTCCCTCGCCTCCTGCTCCTCCTTCTCCTCCACCTCCTCCTTTCCTCCTCACGTCCTTCCCTCTCCTCTCCTCTTCCTCCGCCGCTCCCCTCCTCCTCCGTCCATTCGTCCACTCGCCTTTCTTCAAGGCTCCCTCCCACCCCCACTGCTGCCCCCCTCCCCTCCCTTCCTCCCACCTCTATCTTCTATCTCATTCTCCCTTCGTTTCCTCGCCCAGGGTCCTCGTCCACGCACGCCGCGGCAGCGGCGGCGCCGACCCTCTCGATGAGGCCAGCGTCCTGGCTGAGGAGAAGCAGCAGCAGCAACATCAGCAGCAACAACAACAGCAGGAGGGGAACAAGTAGGAGAACGGGAGGAGGTGGGAAGAGTGGGAGGAGGGAAATGTTGGACCCAGAGGGTCCTTGAGCCGCCGCCGGAGCACGGCCACCTCGGCGTCGCGCCGCTGGATCGCCTCCAGCAGCGCGGCCCGGCTCAGCGCCTCGTAGTGCTGCAGCGCGGGCGCCCGCCAGTAGGGCCGCAGCACCTGGGCAGGAGGAGGAGGATGAGGAGGATGAGGAGGAGCAGCAGCAGCAGGAAAAGAAGAGGAGGAGTCAGGAGGAGGAAGAGGAGGAGGAGGAGGAGGAGGAGGAGGTGGAGGAGTAGGAGCAGAAGGAGGAGTAGGAGGAGGAGGAGTAGGCAGGGAGAGGAGGAGGCAGGGGGAGGAGGAGGAGGAGGAGGAGGAGGAAGAGGAGGAGGAGGAGGAGGAGGAGGAGGAGGTGGAGGAGGAGGAGGAGGTGGAGGAGGAGGAGGAGGAGTCAGCGTAGCCACAGCCTGGTAGGAGGAGGAGGGGGAGGTGAAGGAAGAGTAGGAATGGAGGTCCTCCTCCTCCTCTTCCTCCCTGTCCCCCTGTCCTCATCATTCATCCCTATTCTCCTTTGCCTCCCTTGCCTCGTCGCCCTCCTCCTCCTCTCCTCCTCCTCCTCCTCCTCAGCCTCGTCCTCCTCCTCACTATCCTCATCCAATTCCTCCCTCTGCTCTTCCTCCTCCTCCTCCTCCTCCTCCGCCTCCCCCTCTCGTTCTTGATTCGCCTTCATCCTCAGCTCTTCCCTCCTCCCCTCCTGTATGTTTTGCCATCCATCCTACCTTGGGCGGCGGCGGCGGCTCGGCCCCAGCCGCCGCGGCCACGATGGCCTCGGCCTCGGCGGGCCGCCCGGGCGGCTCGGCCAGCCAGGCCGCGGCGCCCCGGCGCTTCATGAAGCGCGGCCAAAATGGCCCAAAAAATAAATGGCACAAGAGCCAAGGAGAGGGGGAGAGGGGGATGAGGTGTGAGGGGCAGAATGCAATGCAACGCCATCACTGCTGCTGAATGCAATGCAACGCAACAGTGAACGGTGCTCGATTTGACTTTGCGCTGCGTTGCACAATGCATTCTGAATTTCACCCGCAGTGCAATGCAAGGTCGAGCAACGTGGCGCGGCACAAAACACAATACACCGCAACGCAACCGAATGGAATGCAATGGCCATTTTTCGGTTTCGGTTGTACTGATTTGCAAAATGTTGCTTGGGTATATAAGGCAACATACTGTTTTATGTGGGCCGAATGTTGTTTTTTGGAGGGAATATAGGGCAACATTCAACGTTATCTAGGGCAACATGTTACGTTGTCGATGGCAACATTCTGAAAACTGTTCTGCGCGTTTTGTTTCACGACCACATAACATGAGATGCGGCCGTCTTCTTGTCAGGGCAATTCTGCCCCGACAACCCTCGGTGTCGGGGCAGTTCTGCCCTGACGTGTAGGCCGTCGGAGCACTTAGGGCTTTCTGCCCTGACCAAATGTTGACCCCAGACACCATGATTGGACATACCAATCTGACAATGTTTGAGCATATTTTGGGGTGTATTTTTAATATTTCCCCAAAAATCCGCCTGTAGGAGGACATTGCCGACCTAGAGGTAGGGCCCGAAGGCCAGGGAGCGACAGGTCAGGGCCAACGTTCGGGGGGGGGGGGCAGCTCAGGGGGAGGTTCATGGTTTTCGATGGTTTTTGCTATGCGGAGCGCGACCTTTTCTCACGCCAAGAATCCATGTACGTCCGGGGGGTCTCAGGGCTAGGTTGTTTGTGGAAGGTTTCCTGTGTGGAATGGCCTCCGCTGTGCGCGTGAGAGAGACCCTTTGGTGTGGGCTCGCTGGGGTGCCCTCGATCGCTGAGCGCGGTGCGGTAGCGGCCGGTTGCGCGCCTGGAGTTGCCTGCCTGGCCCCCCCTCAGTCCGCGCACGAAAGGTCACTCCTGCCTGGGGTCGCTATGAGAAGATGCCGAGATGGGGCTCCGGAGGGAAGTTTTCGACAGTTCTCGGCGGTGCCCCTGCAGCAGTTCTCTGGCCTCCGGGGTGGTCTCCATCAGCTGCGCCTCGTCGAGCGCGTTCCGGGGGCGCAGGGGTCCTCCCGAACGGCGGGCGGAGGCCCGAGTTAGGGCCCGAAGGCCAGGGAGCGAAAGGTCAGGGCCAACGTTCGGGGGGGGGGGGCAGTTCAGGGAGGGGGTGCAGTCACCCCGCATGATAAGCATGGGCAACCTTCCCCAGGGATGCCCTTGCATTCTTGCCCCCTCGGCCCATCCCTGGCCACTTTCGCTGGCCTCGCCCCTCTCGAAAAGCTTCGAAGTGGCCTTCCAAGGCCCCTGCTCGAAAAAGAAACAACGGCATGAACATAAACTGTCGGCGCTCCGCGCGGATTTCTTGGATCTGCGCTGGGCCCCCACCGACGGCGCCTCCAGCGCCGCCCCTGGCGCGCTCTGCGCGCCAGGGAGGGGGGTCCGGCGCAGATCCAAGAAATCCGCGCGGAGCGCCAAACGTTTATGTTTATGATGTGTTTTGCGAAGGCCTTACGGCCGGTGCCGCCGACCCTGAATGGCGACGACGACGACGACGACGGCGACGACGGCGACGACGAGCGCTCTCGGGGGCCTCTTCGGAGTTGTTTGGAGGCCTCTTGGGAGTCTCTTGGGGGCCGCTTGGGAGCCTCGTGGGGGCCTCTTGGTGCTTTCTGGGGGTCTGTTGGGGGCCTTCTTAGGGGCCTCTTGGAGGCTTCTTCGGGGCCTCCTAGGGGCCTCCTGGGAGCTTCCCAGGCCGAGTTGCCTGCGTCCTCACTGCACGTCCTTGTTCTGCGGGTAGCTGTGCCTTGCGGTGGGATCCGGCGAGGCATCGCATCGCCGAGATGGGGCTTTTGAGAAGGCCCACCCCGCCCAGGGAGGGTTTGGAGATGCGATACCGTGTGCCTATCGTTACGTCAGACAGGTCCCTCTACAGGAGGAGTATTCCAAAATAGTAGAAAACAATTTTTGGGGATGAGTTTCCGACTATGTTTTGACAATGTTTGAATTTGTTTCGACTATAATTGGTTTTTGGGGATGATATGTTTTAGTATGTTTTGCATTTCTTGAATTTGTGTCGACTACTTTCTCCCCCCCGTTTTTCGCCCAACATCCGCCTGTCGGGGGACATGCCCGACCCAAGCCTGTCGACGATGCTTCGGCGATGTAGCGCCGTCGCCGCCCCCAGACCTCCCTAGACACGGTCGCGTCGTAACAGAAATTACGGCGGGAGGTGTGTTGCAATGTTCGTCCTCCAGGGGCCCTCGCCGGGCTTCGGGACCGTCAAAAAAACAGGGCTCAGGAGGAAAAGCCCGTGCCGTGGATTCGGTCGGGACGTATTGGGGCCGAGACCTCTGGGTGTCGGGACCTCTTTCGGGCGACAACGACTCAGGTCGAGACCTCTGGGGGTCGACGTCATGAAACAAGCCACGGACGTCGGGGCACTGGGTTGGGCGCCCTGCGCGGCGATGCTGGGCTCACGTCGGGCAGGTCCTGATACAGGAGGAATACTCGAGAATGGTTTTAAAATAGTTTGGGGACGATTTTTCGTGCTCTTTTGTCAATTTTGGATTATTGTTGTAGTATGTTGTCCATTTTTTCTTCCAAAATCAGCCGGGCTCCTCATCTGGCCACATCGGCGATGCATCGGCGATGCGGCTCGATGTGGAGCTCGACTTGCTTCACGTCGACGTCGCCGATGCATCGCCGACGTCGACGATGCCTCGCCGGTGCATCGCCGATGCACCGCCGATGTATCGGCGATGCGACGCGATCATCCGACCCCATCTACCCCGACCCCGTCTGGGAGGCCGAGACCTCTGGGGCTGTATGTTTTTGTTAAACATGGGCTGTATTGTTTTTGTGTTGGCTAGGGGTCGCTTATCATGCAGCCATCCTCGCCAGGGTGGGGGGGTGGAGGGAGGAGTTAGAGATTCGTTTGAGGGAACCCTCATGGGGCCCACCCAGCTAGTCGTCTCCCGTCTAGTTCGACTCCAGCTCGACTCTCGCTCGAGCCCCTGCTCGATTTTCGCTCGCCTCGAGCTCGGCTCGAGCTCGACCCAAGTCCACGGACGTCCGACGAGCATCCCCCAGGAGGAGGGGGGACGATGCGAGGGTGGAGTCGGGCCGCGGACGTTGGCCGCGAGCCGTGAGCCTGTGCCGCCGGCGGTGCCGAGGCGCACGCGTTCCTCCGGGGCTCGTGCCCGAGGCCGCCAGGCCCTCGCAGGCCGCTCGGGTCCTCACGGGGGCACGCGCGTTGTAGCACGGCAGGTTCGCGTCGTGTCGACTGACCGGCGGCGACCTCGCCGCCAGCGTGCAGTGCTGCACGCCGCCAGCGCACGCCGCCAGCGATCCAGAATCGGGTCGATGTTGGGCGATCTGACGCTTCGGAAGCGACCGATCGTTCAAGGTTGAAGGATCCCCGCGGTGTCAGAAGCTGGCGCCGAGGTCGGCACGAGACGGACCTGCCGGAGTCATCCCGATGCCTGCGCAAGCATTTCCGTCGCCGACGAGTGTGCCAGATTGGAGCCGGCCGGGGGGCTGAGGTGGTCCATCCTTGGTTCCGCCCAGCACACAAGGTGGGAGGAAGGGTGCCCCTCGTCGCCACGGCTGGACGCGGCTCGAAAAGTGAACGGTTTTATTATTCGGCGTTTCGACAGTGGGCGGAAGGGAGGGGGTAGGGGGGGGGTCTGGCTCCGGACCTCTGTTTAATGCGACTGTTTGCAGCAGTGCGTCTTTTGGGGGAGGCTCCACCAGCTCGAAACAAGCGCCAAAAACAGCCAAGATCTACTTCACGGGGGGTGGAGGGGGGGGCAAGGGCCCGCGCCGATCGGCAACAGAAGAAATAAGAAAACGATAACAAAACTGGTCAGTTTCGGCCCGGGAGGAGTCTGAGAACCGATGCTAAACGGATTTGCCCTCGTCCGCCTTTCTTGACCAGTTTTCTCTGGGCCCATCCAGCGCAGAACCCCCCTGGCCGCTTCCGGGTGCAAGATGGCATAATGTTCGGTGGCGTCTGGACGCATACAGTTAGGTCGGGCTTGTCCCTCTACAAGAGGGATATCCGGAAATAGTCAAAACATAGTCAGGGGACGATGTTTTTGCATTTTCGGATATTTTGGGCTACTTTTGGGGTACTTTTTATTTTTCGTCCAAAATCCGCCTGTAGGGGGACACGCACGACCTAAAGCGAGTCCCTTGTGGAGTATGCGTGACCATTCTCTCTTTCCGCCCACGTGGGCGTTCCTTTTCTCGCAGTCCAGCGCTGCGGTGTTGGCGCCAGTGGTACGACGAGGTTTTCCCGTTGAGTGAATCGTCTAATTCGTGAAATCTGTCTGAAGCGCGTGGAGCTACAAGAACATGGCCAGCATACGACCCAATGTTGCAGACATGCTTGCAAGTTCTGTGTTTGAAGGCTTTGCTGACCCAGCTGAGGGAGGTGGAGAACATATGCAAGAAGTTATGTGCGTAGAGTTTTAGCGCCTTGACTATTCGGATCATTCGACCGATTTGCGGTTGGGAGCAACTTTTGGACAGCGATGGTCACTGGCGGATCAACCTGTCTTAGCCCCACTTTCATTGTGGTGTGCATCTCCACTGCAGTCGCTAGGAATGGTGATTCCAGGACTGCATGGGTTGCCCGCAGGACAGCCAATCAACTTCCTATCCGTTGCCACTTACACTCGTCTCGACTGGAGACCATTTTTTTTATCCACCCAAGGGATAACACATGTTACCCCCCCCCCTCCCCCCCCGTAACGGTAACGCCCCGACCCAGTCCAGTGCGCGATCCAGGGCAGCCTAGGCCTGTGGTGCACGCGGGCACTACTGGTGGGCTCCAGATGTGCTTGATCCAATTGTCAGCTCCGCCTCCTGCTGCTGGTCTTGTTTTTCCTCCTCGTCGTCCTCCTCCTCCTCCTCCTCCACTTCCTCCTCCTCGTCCTCCTCCCCTTCCTTCCTCTTTTCACGTCCTACTAGCACCTCGTCCTCTCCCTCCTCCTCCTCCTTGCCTCCTCCCCCTCCCTCCTCCTCCTCCTCCTCCTCCTCCTCCCTCCTCCTCCTCCTCCTCCTCCTCCTCCTCCTCCTCCTCCTCCTCCTCCTCCTCCTCCTCCTCCTCCTCCTCCTCCTCCTCCTCCTCCTCCTCCTCCTCCGCCTCGTCGCCCTTCGGCGGCCTTCAGCGGCCGTCGGTGGCTTTCGGCAGCCCCTGGCGGCCTTCGGCGGCTCGGCGGCTTTCGGCGGCCCTCGTCGTGTTCCTGCTAAGTTCGCTTCCGATGTGCTTGATCCTGTTGCCAGCCCCGCCTCCTGCTACTGGTGTTGCACTGTGGTTCATGCCAAGTTGCACGGAGAGACCTGGAAAACAACTCCACATCCTCCTCATCGCGCTCCTTCTCTCCTTCGCTCTCTCTCTTTCTCTCTCTCTCTCTCTCTCTCTCTCTCTCTCTCTCTCTCTCTCTCTCTCTATCCCGCATCCCCCACAGTGGAAGCCTCTGTCTCATGCCCATCTGCACTTGCATTTTGCATATGCTGCATTGCACTTGCATGGAATGCCATTGCATTGCATTGCATTGCATGGCATTGCATGGCATTGCATTACAACGCATGGGATTGCATTTCTGTTGCGTCACTTCCCATTGCGCTGCGTTGCGTTGCGTTGAGAGTTCCTCGCAACTCTGGGCTCCGAGCTGCCAGGGGCAATGTGGCCTGGCCCATTTCGCCTGACTCATCCTCGCAACTCTGGGATCCAAGATGCCACGCGCGAAGTGGTCCAGTCCATTTCGCCTGAGACGTCCTCGCAACTCTGGGCTCAGATATGCCCCTAACCTGAGGATGTCCAGCCCGTTTCGCCTTAGACATACTCGCAACTCTTGGCTCAGACATGCCGAGCGCGAGGTGATCTGGAAAAGCTTATTTCAGACATTCTCGCCTGAGACATTCTCCTCAACTCTGCGAGATGCCGCGCGCGAGGTGGTCTGGCCAATTTCGCCTGAGACATCTTCGCAACTCTGGGCTCCCAAATGCCGCGCGCGAAGAGGTGCGGCCCGGCTCGCCTGAGGATCCTTGCAAATCCGGGCTCATATATGTCCTGGATTAATGTGGTTCGGGCCCACTTCGCCTGAGACCTCCTCGCAGCTCTGGGTTCCGAGATACCTCTCGCGAGGTGGTCTGGCCCATTTTCGCCAGAGGCATCATCGAAACTCTGGAATCGGAAGTGCTCTGACTGAGTTGGTCCAGCACGATTCGCCTGTGACATCCTCGCAACTCTGGGCTCAGATATGCCCTGACCTGAGGTGGTCTGGCCCCATTCGCCCGGGGCATTCACGCACCTCCGAGATCCGAGATGCCAGGCGCGAGGTGGCCCAGTCAAACTCGCCTCCGACCTCCTCGCAACTCTGGGTTCCGAGATGCCGCGTGCGAAGCGGTCCGGCTAATTTTGCCTGCGACATCTTCGCAACTCTGGGCTCCAAGATGTCGCGCGTGGGCTCAGGGATACTCTGACATAAGGTGGTCCAGCCTGTTTCGCCTGGGACATCCTCGCAACTCCAGGCTCAGAGATGCCGCGTGCGAGGTGGTCGGGCCCGTTTCGCCAGAGGCATCATCGAAACTCTGGGATCGGAAATGCTCTGACTGAGTTGGTCCAGCACGATTCGCCTGTGACATCCTCGCAACTCTGGGCTCAGATATGCCCTGACCTGAGGTGGTCTGGCCCCATTCGCCCGGGGCATTCACGCAACTCTGAGATCCGAGATGCCAGGCGCGAGGTGGCCCAGTCAAACTCGCCTCAGACCTCCTCGCAACTCTGGGCTCCGAGATGCCGCGTGCGAAGCGGTCCGGCTAATTTTGCCTGCGACATCTTCGCAACTCTGGGCTCCAAGAAGTCGCGCGCGGCCTCAGGGATATTCTGACATAAGGTGGTCCAGCCTGTTTCGCCTGGGACATCCTCGCAACTCCAGGCTCAGAGATGCCGCGTGCGAGGTGGTCGGGCCCGTTTCGCCTGAGACATCCTCGCAACTTTGGTCTCTGAACTGTTGTGGCCTGAAGTGATCTGGCCCATGTCGCCAGAGACATCCTCACAACTCTGGGCTCGAAATTGCGACGCGTGAGGTTGTCCGGTCCAGTTCGCCTGAGACATCCTCGCAATTCTGGGCTCAGAGATGCTCCTGACTTGAGGTGATCTGGCCCATTTTCGCCTGAGACATCTTCGCAACTCTGGGCTCAGACATGCTGCGCCCGAGGTCGCTTGGCCAATATGGCCTGATGCATCCCCGCAACTCCGGGCACAGAGATGATGCGCTCGAGGTACTCCGGCCAGATTTGCCTGATCCATCCTCGCAACTCTGGGCTCCAAAATGCCGCGCCAGAGATGGTCGGGCCAATTTCGCCTGAGACCTCTTCGCAACTCAGGGCTCCGAGATGCCGCGCACGAGGTAGTCCAGTCAGTTTTGCCTGAGACATCCTCACAACTGGGCTCCGATGGGGCCAGGCCCAAACTTCCTGTTACACTACAGTGCTAATATCGAGTTGTGCCCCAGGAGGGGTCCAGGCGCCCCTGCCCCGAGGGGGCAGTTAGCCGGCGCCGAGGCGAGAACATGAATTTCGGACACGCCCTGGTACACGTTGAAATCTCCAGCGAGAGGAGAACTTCGAGGGCGAGGAGGAGAACCAGGAGAACGAGGTGGGGCGAGAAGAACCAGGAGGAATAACATCAGGAACACGATGGTGATAACGAGGAAAATAAGAGGACGAGGAAGAAGAAATACGAGGAGAAAGAGGAACGGGATGACGGGGGGGGGAGAAGGAGGGGGAGGAGAAGGAGGTTTGGGAAGGGGGAAAGGGCAAGAAGCATGGCAAAGAGGACGATGCCAGCAATGACGACGACTGTGATGATGACAAGGGCGCAGGCAAATCAGGGGCGGGAGGACGATGATTCGGTGGACGCGCAAACAATGTTTGGAGCCGCCCTGGCTCAAAATCGCTGTCGGGGATGCTGGACTGAACCTATAAATCGGTATGTTGGTGATGCTTCTCCGCCTCGTCACCATCCTTGTCCTGGTCCTCTTTCTGCTGCTGCCTCCTCCATCTCCCCCCGTACTCCTCCTGCTCCTCCTTGCAGCCCCCTCTCTCCGACTGTGCGAATGTTGATGCTAAGAACGGTTCTGCGCCTGTCGGTACCAGTATCGCTATCGATACCAGTACCGATGCCGGTACAGGTGCCGGTACCAAACCATGATCGGCATCGGTATTTCAACAGAAGATACAGCCAACACCAACAGCTTTTCGCTTCCGATCGAGCCCCCTGCCCCTGGGGTCTTAGGCGTTTGCCGCATTCTACGCGTTCTCGGCAAGGCCAACCCAGCGGCCCTGCTGAGAGCACGTGGCGCGGCGAACGTCTAGGATCTACACGGCGGCGTCTGCTGAGATGAGGTTAGCGCTGTAGGGGTCTTCCCACCGAGGCACGCGGGTGCCTCTGCTGAGAGGACGTGGGTCTGACCCTGGGATCGTCGTCTGGCCCTGATGAAACAAGCTCTACTTGGAGGGCGTCGTCTCATCGCGCCCCGCGGGCGATCCCGGGATCAGGCCCGCGCCTTCTCAGCAGAGGCACCCGGGTGCCCCTGCTGAGAAGAGTCTTGCAGCGCAGACTTTCTCTCAGCAGAGGCCGCCGCGTAGATCTCTTGGGCGTTTGCCGCGGCCTCGGCCGGCCGTCCGCTTCTGCCGCGGCGGGCGGCCGGCCGTTCATCCGATTCGTCTTCGTCGCAGTCGTCGCCGTCGTCGTCAGGACCCTCGTCGTTGTCGTCGACGTTATCATCATTATCATCGCCATCGTCGTCATCATCATCATCGTCCTTATCATCATCGTGGTCATCCTCATCACCACCGTGCTCATCATCAAATTCACTCGCAATCAACTTCATGACGAATCATTGCAAACGTTGTCGTCGTCACCTTGAGCGCCGATGCCGTTGTGATATATTGCAGTCGTCATGGTCGGCGGGTCGCCGCCATCGTTGCGATCCACCTCGTCACGGCAATCATATTATTCATCTTCATCCTCCGCTGTATATTCCTCTGCCTTCTGATACTCTGCGCATCTGCGGCCCATCTGATCCTCTTTAATTCATCCTTGGACAAGCGTGGAAAGTGAGGAGCGAGAAGTGTGTGTGTGGGGGGGGACGGCGGGCGAGACGTGAGAAAAGAGCAGGACGTGGAGGAGCAGCGGAGGGATGGGGGATGTGAGGGGCAGCAGTAGCAGAAGGATGACGCGGAGCAGCGACGAAGGAGGAATATATTAAGGCCAGGGTCCAGCATCCCCATCAGCGACTCTAGATTTAATGTGGCTTCAAAACTTGTTCTCGTCCTCCGAGTCACCGTCCTCCTGTTCCTGATTTGCGTGCGCCCTTGTCGTTATCAATGTCGTCGTCGTTGTTTATGTCGCCGTCCTCATCGTGTTTCTCGCCGTCCACCCTCCTACGCAACCTCATCGTCCTCCCTTCTCCTCCGCATCCTCATGCCGTTCCTCCTACTTCTCGCCGTTACTTTCCTCCTCCTCCTCCTCTTTATCATCCTTCTCATCATCGTGCTCCTGATGCTCTTCCTCATCTGGGTTCTCCTCGCCCCTCCTCGTACTCAAAGTTATCCTTCTTGCCTTCATATTTCTCCTTTCGCCGGAGATTTCCTCAACATATATATATTCT